TCCACATGGCCTTTGACATGGCTCTTCCCTAACATCGCAATGAAATCTAAATATTACTTCACTCTTCAGGCTTTCAGGCCGTACTCAGCACTGTAACCTGCTTTATGCTGAGCCAATACCCCGATGGAATGTGGACTGGAGAAGGGAAGAAGAGCAAGGAGGCAGAATCGGTGTTGGTGCTGCTGCTGCCTCCTCTCCCGGGCAGCTGGGGGATGAGGTTATGGGATCAGTCTGGAGCCATCTGACATTCACGTGAGCCAGAGCAGGAGCTGGCAGCACAGTGGGACAAGAGATTTGCAATTAGCAAATATTTTAATGTGCACTGGCATGTCCTTTAATCAGCTGCTCTCCCAGCCTTTTCCTGTTTACTTTTCTGTGAATAAGATTTGCTCTTGTGAGAAGGTTTCTCTGAGCAGATTTCTCTGCTGGCAGGAAGGGGATGGAGCAGCAGTGTCTGTCTGTGTTCAGAGCTCAAGGACACAGGGACAGACAAACATTGCACCTCCCAGACAAACCCTCCTCTCCTCACAGTGTCCACACCCAGGCAAGTGCAGGGGACAGGACCCTGTGACTGAGACAGCCCCAGCTTTGTAGCCACTGAGTAGCCCTAAAGAGTCTCTTGTGAGGAAAATGTGAGCAGGACAATGTGAATCTCCTTGACCATTTCTCTGCTGCCTTTGTTGGTGTGTCATTTTTTAAAGTATTTGGTGAAGTGAAAATATTTCTCTAAATCAAATCTACTTCTGCATAGTTCACAGAGAATAAAACATCTGTGTGGTACAATGTCACTGTTGGGGCAGGATGGGAATGAAGAGACTCTGACCCAGAAGGCTGTAATATTAAAACTCCAATTTATTTAAAATATACTGCTCTTTTATACAGAGCTTCACAAGGACCAAATCTATTGGTTCTGAAGTGAAAACAATCCATAGCATTGGTGCAGAGTGCTTGACACACAGTGATAGAACTTAACTATAAACAATGTGAAAAACAAGAGAGAAAGAATTATTTACATTCTTTTCCAGCTCTTTCCCAGGCATCTGCCTGGATAGAAACTCTCAGTTTCTTTCTTTGACTGAATCTGAGTCCCACAGTACAATAAAACAACTTGTAGCTAGGTGAAAATTATAAACTTGCAATCTTGAATTAAACAATATCCCACTTCCAACTGTGTGATTGAGGAAAAAAAATGCTGCTTTTTTTTCTGGCCTCCTCTAACTCCACACTGCAGGGATTAGACCCAAGAAGGGATAATGGAGGAATAAGATAGCAGTGGCCTATCTCTATGAGGTATCTCTCCTCTCTCCATTCTGCTTGCCTTTCCTGGACATTTCTGCCACTGGGGCTTCAAGTTCTTGGCAAAAGCAAAATTTCTCCCCATTTAAGTTTTCTGTGTGGATTGTTGGGCTGCTGCTTTCCCTGTACCAGGACAGGCTGCATACTTTATTGATTAGGCTGCCTGGTTTTCCCTTTCAGTGACATCCTTCATTTGAATATGTATCTGTTTTGCTGAATCAGCTGTGTATTGAAATGCTGGAGGCTTCAGCTGCTCCTCTGTTTGAGTTGCATATTTGGTTTAATCCTTTTGTGATTTTTTTGCTTGTTCATCTGGCTACTACTTTAGCCAAGTAATTCTGGGGGGTGGAGGGGTTGCACTGCCAATTTCATTTCTGACTGGGAAATATATTCTGTAAAATTAGTTCAGACATTCACGGCTGCAACTGTATATTGTTGGAGTTTTAAAAGAAAAGTAAAAGATTTATTTTATTTCCAATGTTGGCAAACCAGCATTGGGAATACTAGGGGAGTTCCCAACCTGGAAGTTAAAAAAAAAAATCAGGAACACAGCCTGAAGCTGGGGGGGTTGAGGTGGGGCTGGGAGGTCGTGTCAGTCTAAATTGAGATTTAAGAGGATCTGCTCCTTGTCTCTCTTCAGCACCTGTGGAAGTTGGGAGGGCAAGCACGCAGCCTGGGTACAGATTCAATCACAAGTCAAGCAAGCAGTGTATTCCCATGGCAGTATCTTCCCTCAGAACTGAAGCTGGGGTCACAGATAGATCTTTGTATTTAGTTCTTTTCTATGGATACAGATCCCAGACTTTAGGGGATGCTTTACAGTGCAGACCCAGAAATGCCAGCTGCCCTAAACCCCAATTGATTCTGGCTGCAGGAATCACTGTTTGCTCCAGTGTCATCTTTCTTTTGGCATTGAGCTCCTGTCTGAGACTTTTCAAATGCTGCAGAAGATGCTTCCTGCTCAAGAAAAATTAGCTCATCTCTCAGGAGAGAGCAGACTGCAAGTTGTAGCACACAAACTGGTGAGTGACAGCCCAGACCTTGGGAGAAGAGTGAGCTCCATTGCCAGCAAAGGGATGATGCTGCTGCAGCTCAACACTGGTGGTAGCATCCTTCCACCTTCCTCATCTTCTCCTTCTTGGACATCAGGCAATGCCTGAAGGCACCTGAAACTAGCACTGGATTCCATAAATCTTTGATGCAGTTCTCCCTCCAGGGAGAGCCAAGGCTTCTGTATGGAGCACAGCTACAGGGCACATCTCCTGGCCACATTAGGCTGGATGTAAAGTATGGCTAGACTTAGTGTACTGCTCCTAAGCCTGCTTTAATGTCTGCCTTGTCTCCAGTTGCTCAGCATACAGACTCATCTAGAAAGTGCCTGGAGCCACAGATTAAACAGGGAGCTGCCTGAGTAGAAGGGGGGTGAGCAGCAGAGCACCCTCAGCCAGGCCTCTGGGCTGGAAGAGCCTCTCCTGCCCCTGCCCTGGCTCAGCTGCCTGCAGGGAGCTGGTGCCAGGCTGTGCCCGTGCAGGGGGACTGGCACAGCCCAGCCTCAGCCTGGGCTGCTCACGGAGCACGGCAGAGCTGCCTGCACACAGGGGCTTCTGCAGGAGCCCACTGGAGTGTTTTTAACTCTGCCCTTCCTGCAGTGGGCAGGCATTAACAATTTGCAGGAGCAACACTGCAGGAGCTCTCTGGCTGCCCCAGTGGCATAACTCCCATCACTTCTGCTCTCTCTTAAGAGAAAGGGCTGTGTCAGTGGTGCCCCTGAGGTCAGGCATCGTGGCTAGCAGGTCTGGTCCCTATTTCAGTTCTTTTCCATGCTTTTTTTCTTTTTGCCCTGAACACAGTTTGGGTCTGCATGTATAACAAGAGCTCTGTAGAACTTTCCTTAATCTTTTACAGCTTCTAAGTATCACTTGATATTATGGTATTGTTTCTGCCAAATCACTTATTTGCAGTATTTTGGAAATGGACATGATAAGGGAGAAGTGTTATCATCAAACCTTGTGTTTTTTCAGTAGAACTAAGCAAGACTGTTAGCTTAAAGAATACTTCTGGGAGATTCCCAAAAAAAAAGCTTTTGGATACTCCTTGTTCCTAAAGGATTATGGTGCAGACTGAGGACTGCACTGGTAATTCAGTGGAATTTATTTCAGTGCCTGCACCTGCCTCTTCTGTTCAAGCAGAGGCAAGTCAGGGAAATTATTACTAGAAATTCTGTAATCTTCTTCATCTAGGCTCTGCATTTAACAGAGAAATTAAACAAAACTCAAAACAATGCAAAGCATCAGCTATTGGAGAAAATGGCAAAGTTGCAGTAAAGTCTAGCAAGAGACAGATGTTCAGTGCTGGCGAGCAGAATGTGCACAAATGATGTTTACAGTCCCTGTCTCAGGACCCAGCTCTAGCAGCCCTCACCACCACAGGGAGGATCCCCTGCAGTTCCTTACATTACATCCTTTTCAAAAACGTGCCATCTTTTGTGCCCACACTGCTATTTACAAAGTACATTTTCTGTTATTTCAATACTGCTGCATTTTAAAAGCATCCTCCCCCGGGGCCTGGGGCAGTGCTGGTGCAGGAGGAGCTGGCTCTGCTCAAGAGATAGAAGCTGGATGGAGGATGGATGGAGCTGCATGGAGGCTGGATAAAGGCTGGATGGAGGCTGGGAAAGGCTGGATGGAGGGTGGATGGAG